CTCGTTGACTTTCGTAGATCTCACTTCCTGGTCTACGCTCGATTAGCGCGATAATCAAATGTGTACCGCCGTTATCGCCAATAGATCGGGGTAAATGACACGAAGTGGCAACAGAATCCGATCCGCAAGGTTGACGAATAGCGATCCAGCGGGATCGTCGAGTTAATGCACACGGCGAGTCGTGTCGTGACCGTGACGCGACACGACGCGACCAGCGTGGATCGTCGGAGCTCTCTCGATCCTCTTTCCTCCTCGATCACAAAGATCGCCGAGACGCCGAGTAGTGGAGGAAGATCAAGATCAGCCGCGGCTCGACGACCGTACACGAAACACCGTTAGACTCGATCGCGTTGCATCGCGATCGATTATCATCGCCCATTCAGCTTCTCCTTCGTTCCCTGCGAACGCGTCCGCGCTTCCACCGTTATTTCCGCTGCCAATTGGCTTACATTACCAAACAGCTCGAATCCCGAAAGCAATCTTTCACGCCAGATACTTCGTTGTACAATTGGCTCGGACATTACAGGGACGCGGAGTAAAAGTAGACGCGGACTTTCTATTGACTCCCGGGCTGCGGTTACCAGGTCATTTTCAACCGGTGTATTTAAATGATCGCCTAGTTACGTAATTACTTAATTTTGGCCAAATCGAATCCGATGTGTCGTCGTCGCGCTGGAAACGACGGGAAGACCGAATATAGACCGGCAACGAGTATCTTAAAAGACACGCTTTTGATAATAGATAATGTAAAGCTTTCATTTCGTTTGCGTTTTGATTTTTTGCTGGATTATTCGATCGTGGGAGTGGATTAAATACGATTGTTAGATTATTAGTTGTTACTGTAAATAATAGAATGGGGTTGGAAAGTATGTGTAATTGCAGTTCACACCGAACAGTGGAAAGGTGAAGATGTAAACTGGAAGTCGTCCTAAGCCTAGTAGGCAAGAATTAAATAAATAAATAATAATAATAATAATAGTAATAAGAACAAGCTTTGAGAGATTGACGAATACCGCTGAGAATGGTGATAATTAGACTGCAGATCTTCGTGCGAAATAAAACTTTTGCTCGCACATTACATGGGATAGAAGTTCGATAAAAAGAAAGTGTATCTTCTTTTAACGATGTAAATAGAGTGAAATGAATGCAAAAGTATTTTTCAATTCTTCTTGTGCCTCGACTGCTCTGTGTACCGTTCATCCATTTTCGCTGTAAACTCATAAAATCCGCAGTCTAGCGATGATCATTGTCAATCGTGGAATTGGTTCGTCGGCCAAGAAATGAAATAAAGGACGTTAAACGAACGATGCGGTGTTCTCGAACGGACGCGATACGCGGTAGCGCAGAAATTTCATCGACGATCACGCGGGGGAGGAGGTTCCAGTCGATAGCATTTATCCACGATTAAACGTGGCGTTACAGGTAGGAGACCTATTAAATTGGTTAACAACGTATTACGATCGACGGTCAACTAAAAACGTTTGCCGGAGCAACGGTTTCAGCGAGCCGCTCCGCTCCGTTCCGTTTCGTTCCGCGCCGCACCGATTCCTTTCCACGACCGCTGCGCTGGTGCGCACGAATCGAAAGTAAATTCTCCGCGAAGGTGTACACCGCGGTTGCACCTATCGGGTTATGCTCGCGATTGTGAAGCATATTCCGTACCGAGCTGGTAATCCGACCATTCAGCCACGTACTGCGAACTATCGGTGAACATTATTCGTTCGAGTAGTTGTTCCCATAATTCCTAATCGATATAGAATTCGGAGGTAATCGCGGACTAATTCAGGCAAATTTTCAAAGGATTACGTTAAGGAATAATAATAGTAATAATAATAATAATAAGAACAACAATAATAATAATGACAATAATGATAGTACTAACAACAACAACAGTAATAATAATAGTAGTAATAATAATAGTAATAGTAATAATAATAATAATAATAATAATAATAATAATAATAGTAATAATAATAATAATAATAATAACAGTAACTTTATTTGTCAATGGAATGAGCCCTTTAATACAGTGAGAGAAAGAGAGTAATAATATGGTAGGAGTCGCGCAAGGACGGGCGAAATACAAAAAAAGCGGAAGGAGAACTTAAAACTAAAAGAAAGTCGGGAGAACGAACAGACTCAAATATGAAAAAACTTGAGAGGGACAACTTTCTTTTTTTCTTAATGTGAGCGAAGATGAAAAGGAGCGGCGACTACTCGCCGCATAAATGTGCGGTCCGCTCGAGATCCGCGAGTTTGAAAACTCCCCGGCGGCAATCTATTGATTCGCGCCGGCTGCTTTATCGGAAAGCCTCGCGAGAAATAAACAGCGCAACGTCTCGATTTCAATTAAAGCGGAGCTGCTCGGCGTGCGCTTCCGAAATGTCCCGCGATTCCATATTCCATACGGAGCGAGACAAAGGAAACTCTCGCCGAGCGCGTTCGCCGTTCACGGTGTACTAAAACTCTCGATATCGAGGGAACGAACGGCACGGATATTCCATTCGTCGAACGCAACTTGCGAATCGCAGAGAGTTTACATAAATGGCCGGCGCGGCGCGGCGCGGCGTAGCGACAAATTGATCGTCGATAGCGCACGCTTTCAATTTCCAAGGTACTTTTACCGTGGTTTCGGCGAGGTATGGCACCGAGAAACTGCGTTACGATTTATCCGCGGACGATTCTGAGCGGATTTCAGCGGATTCCAGAGAATTTCAACGGATTTTGGCGGATTTCAGCGCGAACAAAGTGACCGCGATGAGGGGAACGAAGATTCTAAAGCGGTCGGCTCGTGTGCCGATGATCGCCGCATAATTTTCAGCTCTACAGGGTGTCCCAAAAATGTCTCGCAATCCGAAAGTGACGGGTTCCTCGGGTCGTTTGAAGCAACTTCTTCCTTTACAAAAATTTTCTCCGAGGCACCGTTAACGAGTTATTAACGAAAAACAGCGACCAATGAGAGGCGAGCTCAGCTGGCGCGAGGTAGCCGAGCCAACGGCGCCAGCGGTCGAGCGGTCGAATCCCAGCTCAGCTGGCGCGAGGCGACCGAGCCAATGAGCGGAACTAGGCTTCGTGCGCTGGTTGGTCTGGCCGCCTCGCGTCAGCCGTGCTCGATTCTTATTGGTCACTGTTTTTCGTTAATAACTCGTTAACGGTGCCTCGGAGAACATTTTTGTAAAGGAAGAAGTTGCTTCAAATGAACCGAGGAACCCGTCACTTTCGGATTGCGAGACATTTTTGGAACACCCTGTATAGTTCGATTTGAAGGCCCCGCGACGAGCGCCGACTCGGCGTGTCGCGGACGGTCCTCGGGCTCCGATCACACCGAAAATAATCGTTTCAGCGCGGTCCGCTCCGGCGGCCGACTTTTACGTAAGAAAACCGAGGGAACATCTGGATGTTTGCGCACGTGAAAGTGGACTAGCAGCGTTACAGGCAACGGTCAGTTAATTCCGCGGCCGCTCGGTTAATATTCTGCAACTCCACAGCCGGTTCCCGTGCCGCCGCGTCGATCGCGGAATCGGAATCGAGATCGAGCCCGAGCTCGAGATCGAGATCGTGGCGAGGGCCCGACCGCCGCCAGCTTTTTGCCGCGGCGAGAACAAGTTTTCCCGCGGAGTTTCCATCCGCGATTATTCACTGGGAAGTTACGCGATTGATCCAGTTTTAGTTGCCGATCGATACGCTCGTCCTCGGTCATTTTTTAAAAATAATACCGTCACGCTTTGGCCACCGGAAGCCTATTAATAAACTTTCCAGCAGCCTGTATCTAAAACAGGCTTGGCAATGTTCTTTTAGATGGCTTACCACGCGTTGCTGCTGTTCATCGTCTTAAACGAATGTTAACCCCGCGATTCTTTCCAAGCGGAAACGAAACTGGCACGCGACTCGAGACAATTGCTGCAATTAAATCCTTCGGTTTTTAAGGCGACGCTGGTGTCGCGAGCAAGTTGAACGTATAACAGATGTTAGTTTAAAGTTGAACGGCTGTCGGCCGTAAGTCGGGTGCGATAACGTCAACGCGCGATCCGAAGCGTTTCGGTTGTTCGAGAGAAGAAGGAGGGCTAAGTTCGCGCGTAGGAGGAATGAAGTCCGGTCGATCAGGATTTATATCGAGCTTTCTATTTGGTATGACATAAACGCGTATTTGCCTCGCTAAATGACTTAATCTTACGTGATCGTCGATCGGCCGCGCTTCGCGATAGAAAAAAGACCGCTTTACGTCATCGGTTGCGAACCGCTCCGTTTTGCCCCCGCGATCATTATTAACCGCAGCAAGACCCGGCGAGTTCCCTATCGAGCTTACGATCTTTCGCAAAATACAGCGTATCCTCTTTTGCGAAACGAAAGCAAAGAATTCGCCAGAGATTATCTAAATTCCAGGCCACGGTCTATGATCTTCGACAAGAAAATCTGTTGCGAAAGAATTGTTTTTAGGAAATTTTCTTTTATCGCGATCCGATCGTTTCAACGATCCGAACACGGAATCCGATGCAGCACGATCGACGGACGCGCTTGTCGCCGCAAACCTATACATATAGCCGAACTGTCAACCACGTTACCGTAATAAGAATATCGACTGCTCTCCTCGAACCAATTCCAACAACGAGCTGGGGACTGAATAGGAAACCTCGATAAGCAACGTTCCGCTGTTTAAAGGGGTAAGACCGCGACCAATCGATACAGCGATTCGCACCAAGACTTCGAAAATGACCTAATATTCCCGCCGATTCTTAATTATACCTGACTACGGCCGTCGCAGAAGCGTTTTAAGGACGACACCTTGTGATCCAGCCGCGAGATTCGCGATCGGCAAATCGCCAGGCGGTCGAACAAGGAACCTGAACGCGAGATCTCGATCTCGATCTCGATCTCGATGCGTTCCAGATACTCGGTCCAAGAATAATAGCGACCTTCGCTAATAGGACTCGCGATAGCCACAGGTTTCCCATGGCGAGGCAAAAGGTGCTCGACCGGCCCGTTCTTGGAATCACACTCACCTTGCAACTTCTTAGGCGAGCCTAATCCAATGTTTCATTTCAGTTCACCGGTGCGCACGGATTCGTCCTGGACGCTTCTGGGTGGGCTTGCGACGCGCACAGATTCAAATCACTGATGATCACGACGCTTCGGAGTCGAACTTGCGAGCGGCCTCGGCAATGTTTCTTGGAGGTGTGACACACTGGGCGTATTATCATGCGATGCGATGAAATTATCGAGAGTTTTCTTTTTCCACGTTGAACTCGCGGGATTATTAGAGATGATGAGCGCGGGCGACGCGCATCTTCGCGATTCAAACTCGATTTGGTCGCCGGGTGTGCGGAGCGCGGGTTTCGGACCCTAGTCGGCGGAATGCTCGGAGACAAATGGAAGTCGATCGAGCCGACGACGGCCGTGTCAAAAAACCTGGGTGTAAATGGGGGAGAAAAAAAAGTGTTCGCCCGAGCATTTTCCCTTTCGCCCGAGTCCGCTGCTCGCTGCCACCACCGCGACCACCGCCACCACCGCCGGCGTTGCTTTCTGCGTGGTATACGCTCTTGCCCCTACCCTCGGCAGGTACACCTCGAAAGCCTCCCCTCCCACGACAGGTCGCCTCGTTCCTCTTACTGACTGATAGCTACTTTGATATGCGTGACTTCCTGCGATCCGAGAATACGTACACGGATATCGTGTACGCTCTCTAGAAGCGGCGCACAGTGCGGCCGCACGGGTCAAAAATATCAAATCCAAATGTATTCTCGTATATAACGAGATATCCGATTTTCTCAAGTTATCATATATGCTTCGGGAAACGTACATGTTATATAGGAAGTGAGCGGCACAAAATATCCTGAGATTTAAATAGTTTCTAATTTGTTTTTTTGTTATACTATAAGAATCTGAAAAGTTTTTGTGATTCTCTCGACTGAATGATAACGTTGTCGATAAAAAGCGAAAATCGCTTACGAAATACTGTTGAATCGTTAGAAACCCTGTTATTACAAATACTGTTATATATTTTTTTTTCTTTTGACAAAAGATAAGACTGCCAGTAAATGTTCTATCTTTATTTTGTCGACAACGCCACCATTCAACCGCATTGTGCAACAGAAAAAAGCGTACAAAATTGTTCGTTGCAATCCGAAGCACAAAAACATTTCAGATTCCTATAATATAGCAAACAACAAATTAGAAAGTATTTCAACTTCTGGATATTTTGTGCCGTTTCTGAAATATGTTAACTTGAAGCTAAAAATAATTGAGCTTCGCGAAAAAACAAGGGTTGATATCCCTTATTTCCTCTATAACCTGTGCCGCACTGTCCGGCGCGACGGACAGTCCTCGATCCACAAGAAAACAGTCCAAAATTTCAAGTGTTACATCAAAAATGTCCTGTATCGCGAAATCTAGTTTCTACAAGTTTCGCCGAGTGTATCAATTGATTGCTGAAAAATTCAACCTACAGTTTCATGCAAGAAAAATCAATGCGTTTCTTCAATCATGTGTCATTGAGAGAATACTTGTTACTTTCATCTGATCTTTATACGTGCTGAATTCAGTACTATAAAACCTATAAAACAAGAAAAACCTGTAAAATAACTATATATATTTGTAATATTTCATAGATAATATTTATCACTGTAAAAAAAAAGCTTTTAAAAAAAGTTCCTTAACGCTTTAACTAGTCTATAAATTACTGTTCGAATCATTAATGACTACTATTACATCAGGAAGAAATCATGCCAACTTTTCCTTTTGCAGTGGTCTATTAGGTAAGTGTGTACAGCGGCGGAACAAATATATGTGGACACGCTTTAAAACGGTACCTATTTTTTTGCACACTAGACTAAATTACTTGAATTTTTTGGAGATGTCAGCGGGACTAGTTTATACCAAATACTTCCTTTTAATTCTGCTATTATATTCATTTAAATTCATAATTACAAGTAACAATGTTTACTAAAGTGAAATATAATAGTATAAATGGAAATATACTGTTTATGAACATTTGTAATATATAGAATAAATTTTTCAGAAATATTGTTAATTTCTCGAGAAAAATATCGTATACTCTTCAAATACATGGTAATAAATGTAGAGTATTTCGAGTTGATGTGTCTGATAGTTTTTCGTGGAAAATATCTTGATGAAAATATCTGGGATAGTAGAAGGAATTTTTTCAATATTTTGGCTTAGATTTTGTCGATGAACGTACAATATTTTATTTGCGAAAATCGCTATTAATTGAAACGAAAATTAACACTGTGAAAGTTGATTTCTAAAAGAGGAACGATGGTCATTTTGTTCATCTCAGATTATTGTTACGTTTCAAGCACGAGGACTAACAATAAGTGGATCAAGTTTCCCCTGACATTCTGATCCAGATCTAAAATCGATGTTGCTCTAATTCAATGGTAGATTGCAAAACCGTTTGCCATGTAATAATCGACTGAATGACTGGTTGGTTGGACTGCACAGATTGGTCGTAAACGCGACAATCCACGAGTGCGTAGCACTATTACAGAATGAGGTGCTCTACTTTTCCTCGAACCGGAACATTTTTATGTTGAAATCAACGTCTTCCGAATCGTACGGGAGAAAAGAACTTCATCGTAGGTATGCGATATCAATCTACGTAAGAATTCGAAAATGATCGTTGCAATTGGTAAAAGTGTCACCAAATAAAATTGATCTGCCTCAATTGATCTCAAATAGAACTCGTCGACGAAATGTTAATTAGATCGATATTTGAATCCCGTTATAATGAACGCATGGCGTAGCCATCTAGCGACTATACCTGCAAGCAAATGATACTCCTGAATATCGGCAACCCGCAGATCTTCTTTTGAAATTTCTCATTTATTTCAAGTGAAATGATTAAATAATTGAGGTAGAGATCCTCGCGTTAGGAAATCATATTTTCGAAGATATTTGTCCGATCTATTACGACAGTGATATGATTATGAGGATCCTTGACTCCAAAAACCTTGGACAACCTTTAAAGGATCTTAACAATTCTTGAGGGATCCTCAAGGATATCGAGACGACCGGGAGATCTTGAAGGTCTTGAAAGGCTTTGGTGACCTTGGAAACGTTTATCGAAATCTTTCAGAGACACATTGCAGGTCTATATTTTTGTTTAATTATGAGAGAAAACTATTGAAATGAGACAACACAGTAAACGCAACTCACCGCTGCAACTTTATTTGTATTAAAATTCTGTGAGAAACGGAGCCATATCTTTGTCGATAAAACAACAATAAACGCGCCTGGATCATACAAAGATTTATAAATGCAAGACATCTCCCATACCGACAGAGCGAACATTTTTAGATCACTGACGCGGCATATCGGGTTAGATCATTTTTGCTTGAATTATCGGCAACACGTGTGTGTGTGTGTGTGTGTGCTCATCGAATGCAGTAACACAAATAAATATTATTTACAACTACTATATCCGTGATAATATGGATTTATCTATCGATCTTATATCAAAAATCTCTCATTATGATACTAAGGCCGCTTTCTTAGAATCGTTTGCCGTCGAAAAGTACATACTCATTACGTGTAACCCTAACATTGCAGCATGACATATTTAAGACACCGTTAAATCGTATCCTTTTCCAATGACATTTAATTATTCGAAACGTTCTATAATTAAAATGCCACTTGCGTCGCGAGAATACATTTCGTGCCTTAATTTACGTAAATACGATTTTCGTAGATACGCGTAAACTGTATCGTAAAATTACTGGAAACATTAATTCCTGCTTCGTTATTGTAAATTGCACTCAATTGCATTTGCAGTCTGCGTACTAAACCCCTCCCACGTGCATCGGATTAAGTTCTGAGTCAAGAAAATCCATTACACTCTGTCATAGCACCTCCTTTGTTCAATGGAAATGATTATCCAGTTGTTTACTCATGGCATGCATTTTTGTTTGTAAAATTATTTTTATGGTATATTGGTGCTTCTCTTGACTGATAAATATAATTGTGATCATAAGAATAAGAGGCATCATTAGTGAACTTTGCAAGCCAAATAGGAGTAATCTAAATTCAATAGAAATATATTTTCTTAACATTTTCATAAGATTCCAGTGAACCATATGTGTCTAATATACAGTAGCAACAATGTCTGAGAACATATCGACCGAGGGAGCAGGTCAAGATATCATGCTGGAACACATGAATTCCCATGATTCTGAATTCGACGATGAATTGGGTGTACCCGATTCTCTGGAAGCCACTATCAATGAGAATCAGACCGCTGATGTTGAAACTAAGGAAGATACAGACAATAATGGTAAGTTTACTTATTTGTTATCTCCATTTTCCTCTCTTGTTTTGTTATACCTATTAACTTCCTTAGTGCCTATGGTTTAATAATAACGTGTTTGTGTGGATTATTAGAACGCCTTGGTGTAATACCATTTTCTGCTATTCATCAACTTCCAAAAAAGATTAAAAGTCTAAATTATAATGTGTTCATTCCTGGTGAAGAAGTGCATGTGAACATTATAGACAATGAGCGTAGTGTTACAACACATCCTTTGAATCCAAATCTGTACACCATAGAATTTAAGCATGGTGGTTTCACCTGGACAATTAAAAAGAGATACAAAGATATTCAGTATTTACATAATCAATTGAAAATATATCGTGCTAGCTTGAATATACCGTTCCCAACGAAAACCCACAAAGAAAGAAGGAACAGTTTGAAGAGCTTAGTACAACTGAAGGAAGCCAAGGGTCGTAAAGGAGCATTGCCAAGGTACAGATCTTTCTTACAATTAATTATCTGAAAAGATAACTTTTCTAAACACAAAATTTACCTTCTACCAGATTTCCAAATAAACCTGAAGTTCTGGTACCTTATGAACAGTTGGATCAGAGGAAGAAGCTACTCGAAGAGTATTTGACGAATTTATTGAAAATAAAAATTTATAAGCATCACCCTGAAACTGTAAGCAAAACTATGGTCAATAATGAGTGGACATCATCCGCAACCTCTGTAAAATTTTCACAAAACTTTTTCAGATCAACTTCTTAGAAATTTCGCATTTATCATTCATAGCAGATTTAGGGGTGAAAGGTAAAGAAGGACCTATTTCAAAACGAACGGGATCAGGCGCAAAGAAAGGGTGCAATGTCTGTGGTCTGTTGGAAGGCATGTGTTGTATTAAATGTTACAATTTTTGTACATATCTATGTGGGAAATGGCATACTCGCCATCTCGTTGTTAAGGACACTTTCGTCGCCTACATTAGGCCCAAAACTAGCACCATACAGTCAGTAATTTTAATGGACTATGGTTTCGGGATCAGTTACGGTTTATACATAACAGGAAGAAGTGGTCTGCAAATTGCAAATCTTAGTAGACATATAGTGATCGACTGCTGGACCAGGAGGAAGGCCAGAGAATGGATGAAATTCATTCAAGAAGTTAGTAACAACGAAGGCAAGTTTTTGATCAACATTTCTGCAAAATTCTACAGTACAACATATTAAATACAACAACTCTGCAGGTCGAGATTTCACACAATCGAACCCGCACAATTCGTTTGCACCTTGCCGACTATCTACACCTGCTACCTGGTTCGTCGACGGATCTAGTTACATGTCTTCCATAGCAGACGCACTAGAGAATGCTAAAGAAGAAATTTTTATTGCAGACTGGTGGTTATCACCTGAGATATTTATGAAAAGGCCGGCGATTAATAGCGATTACTGGAGGCTGGACAAAATCCTGGAAAGAAAAGCTGTAAGTACTATTAAGTATTGCTTTTATAAAAATTCGAAGACCTCCGGTAAGATTGACACAACTGCAATTCAAATGTAACTTGTTGCTACAAACATAATACAATGAATTTTGTTTCAGCTCGAGGGAGTGAAAGTATTTGTAATGATTTATAAAGAAGTAGAAGTTGCTTTAGGAATAAACAGCTTCTACAGCAAACAACGACTCGTTGAAAAATGTCCGGAAAACATAAAAGTATTGCGACATCCGGATCACGCGAGAGTAGGCATATTTCTCTGGGCGCATCACGAAAAAATCGTGGTTGTTGATCAGAGCATTGCATTTCTTGGTGGCATCGATCTATGCTACGGTCGGTGGGATAATAATCAGCATAGATTAGTAGATTTGGGTAAGTCAAATTGAAGAATATAATTCAATTGTTTCTAGATTGATGGCATTCTTTTAATTATAGGTTCAAGTCATCATTCTAGTATTTACATTCCGTCCGGAGGAAAATGCGTTAACACTAGTAGCAAGAAAATATCAAATTTCAAGAAGCCTCAACATGTTTTCTTACCGCTAGCTATTGCCACCAATACAATTGTAATGGTCACTACGAAAACAATTCCTGTAGCGTAAGTGGCAAGTTAACAAAAAACGTAGAGTAGCAAGAGAAAGCATATATGATAAATGATTTTTCCAGGTCGACAGCCAATTCCAAAACAGTAATGTCATTAGCGATACCACAGTTGGCTCCAGAAGATTTACTGTTGATGCCACAAGAGAATATGGACACTGTAAAATGTAATACACCAAATACAGAGCGAAAGAATTTGTTCGGTATGGCAAAAGACACCATGGGCAAAGTCAAACAAAACATCAAATTGAAAAGGCAGGAATTGATTCATATGGTGTACAACCCGAACGAGGAAAGTAGTGACGAAGAGGATGTCGTCGATAGGTGAACCTCATCTTCTTTGATGTGATTTGATGCATTAAATAACAATTGTTAACAGCAGACTGTTAAGAAATTCATATTATTTAGTGGTACATTGCATACTCTAATTGAAACTGGCGAACCAATGATACCGGACGAGGTAGATGCATTTTCAGAGTATTCAGGTACTGCTAAACTCTGGCTCGGGAAGGATTACACAAATTTTATCGTTAAAGATTTTAATGATCTCGAGAAACCCTATCGGGATTTAGTAGATAGGAGTAGGACTCCCAGAATGCCATGGCATGATGTTGGTGTGATGGTGCAAGGTGCATCGGCTAGAGACGTCGCTAGGCATTTCATTCAACGTTGGAACGCGATTAAGGTAAGTAGTCTATCCCTGCGTGTCCACAAAGGGTCTCTGAAGACCTTGAAGATCCTTCGAAGTTCTCTGAAGATCCCCGAAAGTTTCTAATTAAATAACATGGATGTACTCTGACTTCGTAGATGGAAAAAGCAAAATTAAATCCGTCATATCCATTCCTACTGCCCAAATCATACAACGATTGCAGAAGCTATGCATCGTTCATTGATCTATCAGATGTGCATAATACTCAATGCCAAGTTCTGAGATCAGTTAGTTCTTGGTCTGCCGGCTTTCTTGATTCAGAAACGTTAGAACAAAGCATACAAGAGGCTTACATAGACGCCATCAGCAAAGCCGAAAGGTGAAATTATTGTATACCATTGTACCAATGGTGTTATGGCTTTACAATTCAAAATTTATTCTAGGTACATATATATAGAAAATCAATTTTTCATTACACTGGCTTCTATGGAAAAAACTGCTGTAAAAAATCGTATAGGAGAAACATTGTTCAAACGAATTAAAAGAGCTCACCGGGAAGGTGCAGTATTTAGAGTGTTTGTGATCATGCCACTATTGCCGGGTTTCGAAGGTGAAGTCGGAGGACCAAGTGGTAAAGCCCTACGTGCTATTACTCATTGGAATTATGCTTCTATATCCAGGTAGAAATTCGTGACAAATTTCAAACCGCAATATACGTGCATATGTGTTTGTTAATATCTCGGTTCATAGGGGTAAAGATGCCATCTTGAATCGGCTATTTGAAGACGGAATAGAAGATCCGAGTGAATATATTACTTTCCATGGTTTAAGGACGCACGCAATGTTGAATGGTACATTAATGACAGAACTGATTTACGTTCATAGCAAATTATTAATTGTGGACGATAACACGGTAATTTGTGGTTCAGCCAATATTAATGACAGGAGCATGATAGCAAGTAGAGACAGCGAAATTGCAGTAATAATCCGAGTACGTACGATGTGCTAATCATTTAGAACAAAATATGTGTTTAAGAATTTGAGAAATTTCTTTTTTTTTGTAGGATCAGGAATTTGAGGATGGAAGAATGAACGATATACCTTTTCTTTGTGGTAAATTTGCTGGATCATTAAGGAAACAATTAATGTCTGAACATCTTGGATTGCTAGAGACAAACGACGAGATAGATCTGACTGATATAGTTCAAAAGTCATTCTACAGAGATATCTGGTGTGCTAGAAGTAATCAAAACACGGAAATCTACGAAGAAGTGTTCCATTGCATTCCCACAGACAAAGTTGTTAATTTTTCTATGTTGAAGCAGTATCAAAATGAAGAACCACTTTGTTCATCCGATCCACAATTGGCTCAAGAAATGGTTGGAAAAATAAAGGTAATCACTATTCAAACAATTTTTCTAGATATTGCTTCGAAGGATTCGTAACATCTTTCAATATTATTTCAGGGTCATCTGGTAAATATGCCACTGAACTTTTTGTGTAATGAAGATTTGAAACCCGCTGCTGGTACGGTAGAAGGTATTATGCCAACAGCGTTATGGACATAAATAAATAGGAATCAAACTTTATACAGTTGCAAGTACAAGAAACTAAAAAGTATTTAATAATTTATTGATAGAAAAGAAATTTTACTTCAACATTCCAAATATTAACGATGAATCTAACGGAAGTTATAATAGTAGTAATAGTGGTTTCAAACTAACTTTATTCTTTCCACTGTCCAGGATATTTTTAAACGGCATCTACTAGAGTACTTAATTATGATTGAATGAGAAGTTGACTTTTATACCGAAAATGTTATTTTTTAATATTATTTATTTGTAACTATCGCCGCAGCTAGTAAAAAAATGTACAATTTTTAACAATTTAAAGAATTATCAGTTAAATTACATTAAAAGAGAAAACAAGATCCCTTAGGTTTCAATATTTCCTTTATGGCGTCACGGTCACAATTCCGTGGAGTTTCTACGGACCACAATCCAAAAATTAGAATTTTCAAATCTCCCGCTAAATTACATTTGAATCCGATAAGTCGTCCTAGTTTTAAACGAATTCACATACAGGGTGTTCCAAAAATGTCTCGCATTACGGAAATGTAGGGTAGCTGAGATCATTCTTTTTCCTTTGCGAAAATGCAATCTGCGGCTTTGTTTACGAGTTATTAATGAAAAACACCGACCAATGAGACACAATGGCGCGAAACACAACGTGGTCAATCGATCGAGTGCCATGTGCTCCTATCGCTGATTTTGACAGCTGAAGGGGGACTCTGTGCCGTGTTCAAATCACTGAACGAGTCACGGAGCATGAACTTTCGATATTTTTTTTACCACGTGACTGTTCATCCTTATTTCAGAATGTCTGAGAATATTTACTAATTTTTCGGACCCGAAATAATAAGTATGATAGCCGTTTTAATTTTCTGATGTGCATGACACCTCATGTGTACCATATGAAATTTTTATGCAAGGTGAATATTAACAAAGTCCGTAAATGTTAATTTATTAAATTTTAATTTAAATAATTCCGCGTTCGAACACAATTCAACGAGCGATTCGCAAAGCTAATTTAATAAATAATAATCGTGTTAAAGCACGTAAGAGATTTGTTTGATAGAGAAATATGAAGAATATTATTAATAAGAAACTCACCCATTTAGTTGTTAATCCACTACATGGTTGGAAATGTGTGCTGGAGGATAATGCATTCACCTCGTACAATGTATGATGAACTGCACAGCTGATCTGTATCCGACGGCGACGAACAGAAGGATGTTTCCAGGCAGGCTATTCCAACGGTCACTTTTACTACATTATCACTAAACACTGATCACATATCAATAATATCTGCGGACGAACTTTCCTGGATTAATATGTATGGCCCCGAAAAGAGCCGATTTTTTAATGCGACGCGTTCAAAGTTCGCACCGTTAACAACACGCACCGCGTTGACACATTTCATAATGTTCTCCTGAACCCTTTGCAGCATCCTTGTAGTAAACAAGTTGATCGCACCGTACAAGAATAATTAAGAAAATTCTCTCGCGATGTCCTTTTCATATTAATGCTCGGGACGAACTGCAGAATGGCTGACAATGTCCGCGTCCGATGGGAGACAGTTGAAACTCGCTCGTAGGAAAACGAAACATTGTCGGTCATCGTGTCAATCTGCTGCAGTTCATACGCAGTGCGTGTTATTAACGATACGAACTTTGAACGCGCAGCATTAAAAAATTGGCTCTTTTCAGGACCATACATATTAATCCAGGAAAGTTCATCAGCAGATATCATTGATATGTGATCAGTGTTTAGTGATAATGTAGTAAAAGTGACCGTTGGAATAGTCTGCCTGGAAACATCCTTCTGTTCGTCGCCGTCGGACACAGATCAGCTGTGCATTGTACGAGGTCAATGCACTATCCTTCAGCACACATTTCCGACAGGTAATCCAGGTGTCATGCACACCAGAAAATTAAAACGGCTGTCATACTTATTATTTCGGGTCCGAAAAATTAGTAAATATTCTTCAGACATTCTGAAATAAGGATGAACAGCATTTTTCTTAAAATTATCACTGCCACGTGGTAAAAAAAATATCGAAAGTTCATGCTCCGTGACTTGTTCAGTGATTTGAACACGGCACAGAGTCCCCCTCCAAGTGTCAAAATCAGTGGTAGAAGCACATGGCACTCGATCGATTGACCACGTTGTGTTTCGCGCCATTGTGTCTCATTGGTCGGTGTTTTTCATTAATAACACGTAAACAAAGCCGCAGATTGCATTTTCGCAAAGGAAAAAGAATGATCTCAGCTACCCTACATTTCCGTAATGCGAGAGATTTTTGGGACACCCTGTATAACGGATACTTTGAAAAACCAGAAAAATTATACCTAAGGTGGACTTGGCGGGTCCTTTTTATCAAAATCAGACAGTTGACTTGTAGTATCATGTGTAAGAGTCCTCGGTAATGGAACACCCAATAAGCCAATAAATACTAAGATACTACTTTTGTAAATATATCCCTTGTGTTTAATTGAGTCATTATTTTTCGCACAACATTAACTTCTTTTTAATAAAGAATCTGTAAGTTCTATTTACCAAGCATTCCCCGTCATTATACAGCAGGAAGCAGAAAGTCTAAAAAGAATATCTCTGCAATAGATCGAAAATAAAAATTATAAGTTGCATGTTCTTTCTGGTCAAAACTAAACTTTCAAGTGAACAACATCGAAGTGAATGTTGTCAAACAAATATTATCAAATATTTCAAGATTTTATGAAAAAATATTTATTTCAATACAGTGTTTTAAAAGTCAGATATGAACAAGGGTTCGGACCCGGACAAATTAATCGGAATCGGAATTGCTTAAGATGTATGATTAACTGTATGTACTTAAATAACTGTATGATTTTAGGTTTATTTCAATTTATTTACCTTATTACGAAATCGCCCAATGTTTGATCCTTGTAACAAATAATAAAACATTGTGGTTAATAGTAAATCAAAGGCCTATATAAACTATGAATCGTTTAATAGAGTTCTACAATGTACCTGCGTTTTTGTTTGTTTTGTAATTGTAGTAGACCACCTCTTAGTTGATATCCCTCTTACCGGTCTATTAGAAAATAATGTTTGTATCTACAAAATGATTATTCAACCTGTGAGATCTAATAGTATATTATTTTAAAATAGTTTCTCGTTTGTAATTGTTCTCGGTTTTGTAGCGTCTTCTTATGTGTTCTCCTTCCTTCTACCACAAAAATTTTTAATTTCTTTTCTAATACTTTCAACAGTATTAGCTTCAGTAGTTTCCAAATGTGACATAATTTTTTCCATTTGATAGCTATATGTACAGAATCAATACCAACAATATAAACGAGCACAATGGCAAATCAATATCTTAAAATATTTCATTATAGATGCTTTACCTTACTAAAGTTTTGAAAGCATTACCATCTTCGTTAATAAATTGATTTGCTGCTTCATTTAGTTCATCCATTGTTAGTGCTGTTAATACGTTGAATGCCATGCCGGTTTTACAGAAATTGTCCGTGGCGCCACGATGAATTTTCTTTTATGTGATACATATAATGTTGAAATATTATCTGCAATAGATAAGTTACAGTGTATAACCATGTTTAACATGTTAATTGCGACAGGGGTCACTGTTTGGATTGACGATGGTAATAATACAAAATTTTAGATACTGACATTTGTTTTAAATTATATGTATTTCTATCAATTTAGGCGCGCTGGTCATCGGTGGCCCCCATGGCGTCACCGCCAAGGTAAGTGCTGGTCACCGGTGACCCCCGTGGCATTCAACGTGTTAATAGATTTTTATTTTCTTCAAAATTGAAGTATCAAACAAATTTTATCTTCGAGCACTTGTGAAGTATCTCAATTTTTGTTTACCTCAGTGTAGCCGAAAATGTCAGCCACATTCTGGAGATCATCACTAATATCGTCAGACGATAATCCCTTGCCGGGGCTTCAGAAATATGTGCACGATGTGGTGCACAATTTTGGTGTAAACAAACAGATTAAAGCAATCTGATATATGTTTTGGACATGACATATCCACCTTTGAGTAAAAATCATTTGCATTGAGAAAAAGAAAAGATCTTCCAATACATGGACATGTCTCATGAGTTCACCTTAAAATCCCTGAGCTCTATAAAGTACAACATGGGTATTACCTTTTTTCATTACCAATGGAGAAATGATAATTTGAGTGAGATCTGTCCATTTTCCAAAATAATTTATATGACCAGAAACGGATAATAGGTTCATTGATCAAATTGCTCCAAAGCCTATAATTTTAATCACAGTTACTAATAGCTGAAACAGTATTGAGGAAACACTGTTCATATTTCTTACCTGGATGATCATGATTCTTATGAATGGAAAATATTGGCATACCAACATTAAAATTTGAATCCTCATAATTTACAGTTTTACGAGCACAGTGTTGGAATATTAATTCTGGATCACTTAAAAATTGAATTTTTATTTCTGTAATGAAAAGACACTAGTTGATATTTGTCGTACTTCAAATTTCATCTTGTGTAAACATATATTGCTAACCTGACAACTGCTAACCTAACCAATGTTTTGCTAACAAATCCATACATGTTGGAATCGTTCAATCCCATTCGTGAGGTCTCGTTTCAGCCACTTGGAACAGATTCCAAGCAGAATCATTGACACCATTGGACACACCATAGCCCGCCAAAATTTGTGTACACAAATTACACAATACAATAATATGTTGGAAGTTTTGCAAGACTCTCCGGGCGCAGCGCGCTCCATTAGCGAGAATAAAAGTAGAAATTGCTTTGCTCTGATTGGTTGCCGATTTATTGCTAAGCCTGATTCACTGCGGATTGGATGCTCAGTAAAGTGGTGAGAATTTTATATGCTCGGCTAATGATGTAAAATTCGAGGATTTTCTATCTTAGCTCCGTCTGCGGTAGAATGATGAACTTTCGATAGCTTAGCGTCAGTTCGTAGACTACATCGGTAATGCTAAATCGAAGACAGAAGTGTCAAGTGCATCGAACGTTAAAAAATTTGAATTTACCGCCACAGTAATGCTACTCTGTCGCACTCTTGCGAGGGACTTCGATATTTATTCGGTTCGAGCAGTAGCACAAGCCAGCAGCAGACAAACCATCTGTTTGGCTTTATGTTTACGCGTCGTGTGTTTTGATAAATATCATAGTCTTTAGCGGTGTGCTAAGATAAATTTTTTGCATTTGATAAGAACATTGCTGTAGTAGATTCGTCTATCGGTATCGTTTAGTTAGCAACAAAAATGACATATTTAAGTTCGTGGGAAGAATTTGAAAAAGGTGCAGAGAGGTTATACCTTCAAGATCCAATAAAAGTGAGTTCCGACAAAATTTACTTTAACTTTCTTTTTATTATTGTATATACGTATTGAAAATGATCTCTAGTTTTCAATAGCAACGCTACGTGAACGTATTTCATTCAGTAATTCAAAAAAAATGTCGAAGGTAATGCAGGTTGACGTGCACTGACATGACATGACACGTCATTCATTCGGAGCGATACAAGATTTCCTTTTGACTTTATTAAAGAGGAAAATCAATTTTGATCGAGTTCGCGCATAAAACTATTAAAAGTTTATATTTTCTATAATCTTTATTTATTTTAGATATTTGACAACAGGTAAAGCTCGTTTAATATGTACACGTACATGTGATACCTATACGACTAAAAGTATGGTTTCCTAGGTGTAAGTTTATAATCAATTGTTTTTTTTGTATTTCAGACTCGGTATACAATGAAATATTGCCATAGTAAAGGTGTTCTATGTTTGAAACTTACAGACAATCGAACGGTAAGCATTGCCATTATGTAACTTAACCGATCATTTTTAAAAGCTTATTCCGAATAATACAACGATCATTTTTATGTCGTAGTGTCTACAGTATAAAACAGAGATAGCACAGGACTTAAAGAAGATGGAAAAATTTATAGGAAATCTAATGAGGCACATGGCATCTAAAGAAAGCTAAAATAAAGGACTAGATAATATTAGGGGCACTTTTCATTTTTTTGTTTAAATTAAGGAATATAAGTGCTGCGCATTTGATACACTGTTTATGTTTCATTTCATGAGTTTCGATGACCGATGGGATTATAGATATTTAATTTGAATGAGGTATAAAAAACTTTCTTAAATATACAATATGTGCATAAATGTCTATTTTGTATTTATTTAAAGCTTCACGCTCATTTCGGCTGATGACGTTGCCTCCTTGTTAAAGTTCTGAAACAACAGAAGACGGAGATATATTAAACAACGCGTTGATATTTTTGTTCTCAGAAAAATTTCTAGTTCTTTGAATAAAAGAAAAATATACGTGAGAGTGTGATCGTGAAATGTTTCGTCTAAAAGTACCAATACTATTCAGAAAGTATAACTGTATTAATCCAACGATAAGTGAGCAGTGTAAAATGCATTAGGTATTAATAAAGCCAGATCTCGATTCGAATCAATCTCTGATTACTGAATAATTACAAGGGGGAAGCGCGAAGCAACGAAATGAAGCACTTACGATATTATGGGCTGCAGAACAGCGTCCAGAGTAGTATCAACAGGAGGGTAGATTTCTTGGTTTGAAGACAGTTCATAGCGTACCTCTCCCCCTAATTGCAATTGCGTCTATACCAAACAAAACTATTTTACTAATTCACTATGCAGAAAATCGTACGATACAACACACTACATTCTAGAGACAGCGTTTCGTTCGATAAATCAGCGAGCATCGTTGGATCGATCGATGAACAACATTTATCGTGGGAAAACAAACGAAACGCTATAACTAGCGAAGAAGAGAGTAGCACAAAACCTTAACCGCATATGTTTATGAGAAGCGCTTAGTACCTCTAACAGTCTTCAATACTGTAAGTGCAATTTTAGTGAAATTTATACGATTCGTCGTACAGTACTGCGACGATTGTTTAATTCTTTCTTTAAAAAGCGTAAAGCTCGATCTACATGAAGCAAAACTGTAACCCATTACTTTCGATTGGTACTGTTTCGGTCACCGACAAGTACAGAGAACAGTCAGAGATCAGAGTCGAGCGTTTCACCGAGTTCTACTGTTTTGTTATTCGTTTGAACGTTAGAACTACCAAGCTCCAAAAGCTGTTTTCTATTTCCTTTTGAAAATAACAGGACTGGACAGGGTTGCCAAGTAAGTACAGACAAAAGCATTTTTATAATCTGAACAGCTATAACATAAAGCCCCTTTCAGAGTCTGTCCGGTAGTTCCAGCGTTTTGAACGTTGCCCAACTCTGATTCGTCTCGTCGACTGAACCGACACTATTATGTATTTGTCGGTGTACGTTTCACGGGATACAATCAATCGAAGTATTGTGAACCAAAACGGACAAACGAAATTAATTAATGAAATCTTTAGAGAACGAAACAAAAAACTAGTCGAAAATAGAAGAAAGCGAGCGAAAAGATACGTACTACTCGGGTGGGTTTTGCGCTGTCGGCGGAGCTTGAGCAGCAGCTTGAAAACTCCTGCGGCGTGCTTTCCCCGAGGCCGCTGTCCACGTTACTGCCTATCAATATTCTGTTGTTACGAGTATAATAAAAGTCCTTCCTCACATTGCACTCGCTCCTACTACCGTCGTAGTACTTAGTCTCGACATGAGCCGGCCTGGTTGCCGGCAAATTATAGCCTCCGTCGCGACTATGCTGTATCATTCTTCTGTTTCTTTTGCCGATGGAGCCGATCGTTCTGAAAGTGAGTCCTTCACAGTCTTCGATAATGTCACGCGAAATGCGAGAAAACGATCATCCCTGGTCGAACACCAGTCCGACATCGATGCAGTACACAGAATACATTTTTAGTTTTGCCAAACGATCGGATGCGGTTAATACATACTACGGGGGGGGGGGGGGGGCTACGATTGCATTCCCTTCTGTTTTATTCACGACAATTGTACTCGAAAGCGTCTCCAACGAATATTTGTGCAACGTTCTCTTGTATCTTACAAGGTGGTTTCGAACCCTAGAATGAGTACCTGCGGATTCCGAAAGCGTACCTACAATTAGAAGTAGTTCGATGCTAGAAAGAATAGGTGCTAGAGAGTAGTCTACATCGATTTCTTAAAATCGCGTTACATGTGTTATCAACAAAAGCAAAACAAAGTTCTTGAAGCTTACAAACGAAAATTGACGAAACGAACGTTTAGGTTGCATCGTAGACAAATAAACGTAATCCGAATGAAACAATCTAATCAGATTCGAGCCCACTTCTAATCATCTATGTAGTGTTCACAAAGGTTTCCTGGTCGGTTTCCGATTGTCGCAAATGCGTCTATCTAGGGTTACCAAATTCGCTTCACCGTCGAGAAAGCCTGCGACACGTACATTGCTCGGATCAACGAATAATTTTTATTTCTGATCGATTGTTACAGTTGCTCGTGTAATAGTCGCAGACGTTTCTCGGCCGTGGACGATCCTGAACCGGTAACCCTAAGTAATCTACTGGAAGTATTACAGTGTCTTTGAAAACTACCGGTCACCTAGTGGCGGTGCGACGTGCGACACAGATCCGGCACACGACAGCTTCTCAACGATCCTCGACACTCCCAAATACCAACAACAGGTCCGCCTCGTCGAGAGAGCGCACACGATGCAATTACACCACAAATACAAGTATTACACAGAACAAATACTTAAACGAGATACGGGCCACAGACGAGATACACACCACACAACACAGGACAACGACATGACAAAATGCTACGGTTCCGAGGATGATATACATTTACATACGTTCCACCGGACGGTGGAATAGCAAAAGCATCAGTAGGTGCCAGCCAGTAAATAAATACACAGGTGCGTCAAGCTGTTAATCTCATCGATTTATTAAGGGTCTGATCATGCTTCTCAAAATAAATAATAAAAAAAAGGGGGGGCATGCTTTTGTAGTGGATGATGGTACATGCTCTGAATAAATAAAGAAAAAAAAAATAGTACGAAAAGAAACAAAAATAATTCATGCATAAAGGGCTTGAGGATTCTTTTAAACAATGACTACGGATCCCGTCTCATCCTCCATTTGCGGAGGATGGCTGTGGATGTTGCAGGCCGTCTTGAGATCATCGTACCTAGGCAGAGACGACGAGTCTGCCTCGTCCAATCGGGAATTGCTAGACTGTAAGGGACATTGCTGTACAGATTGCGATTGAACCACCGTGTACGGTATCTCTCGCCGTTGCTGCTCGCTCATTCCGGTCGTGTCGACTAGCCCGAACTCCAAATGTCTGGAAGAAATCATGCTCTCAATCGTTACATCGTTACATCGATCCGACGCGGCGCAACGCATCGGTACGTATTTACGTTCAAATACTATAATACAGATCATGCAGAGGTCTTCCGAAAAGTTTTAGTCTCTCTCTCTCCCTCTTTCTCTCTCACTCTTTCTCTTTCTCTCTCACTCTTTCTCTCTCTCTCTCTCTCTCTCTCTCTCTCTCTCTCTCTTATTTTTCTGGTAGTAACATTTCACGAGACTGTAGCACTTCCTGTTTATTTCGAACGAACAATACACGTGCAGTGACTTTGTACCTAACAATACATGAAGGAATGCTTTGCGTGACAACATTATCGTTATTATTGCGTGAATGGAACCTACTTCCTAAGCTCGTCTGGCAGCGATTGCTTCTGGGAGGGACTCCGGTGTCTGCTCCTGTGCCTTCTTCTCGGCTCCGTATGGCTGACCTAATGCAACATTTCGTGAACGATTAAACGTCTGCGGGGATTCGTCACCGTTCCCCCGAATTCTTACGAAATTTTCTATCACGAAAGGCATCGAGCACGGTAGAATCCATTATTCGAAAGCCTCTGATTTATCTAAATACGTTCACTAGCGATCAGATCAATCTAAGCCAAACCACGTGCAAAACGGTTCGCATTTATAAATAAAAAAATAAAGCTTAAATCTAGCACCGCGATCGAATCGAACGAACTGTTCTATTCACCGAACATTCGTGTCTCCGATTAGCTCGGATAATCGAGGTTCTACCGTATTAGAGTTTCACAAAATTTGCTCGAAGAGGAGAACGATTTTGAAAGTTGGTCGGATTAGAGAGATCCCCCTCTCGTCCCCGAGTTGCGTCGTTGCTCGCACTTACAACGGCTCGCTGTACGCCCTCGCCCTTTCGTTTCTGCGCTTCCCTCCATTGTGGCTCGGAGTCGACCAATTCGTGCCTGAAAAAGGTTCCCAGCGGCATGTAGTCGCGCAGTAAAACAGGCATTGCAATTTAGCGTGACGGCCTTTAGCGACGATACGCATTTTAGATCCGAACCGCGAACTTTTGTTGGACGACAATCGCGATAACGGGTCGCGCGAACGCGTTCAGTTTTCGTCGAATAACGAGAACATCGCCGGGATATTTCGTGGCATCTCGCGACGGATAGACGCCTAGTGTGCGTCATCATTAAAATAATTATCACCTTCGCGGAGTTTACGTACCCTACCGTGAGAGTATAACGAGCACGAGGGCTCTTCTTTCCCGTCCACAGGGTCGACGAACTCGACCGAAGACATTCGAGCGAGCTACTTCGTTTTTACATGCCCGTTCCGAGTCCCGAGTCCCGGCAGCCCCTTTATTACCTCGATTAATTACCAATTAAGAGGGCACGCACATCTTAGACGCTGAATTGACTTAATAACGCGTCGGTAATCGCAACAGGGTCGATCGTATCGTACGCGTTTCCCGCGACCTCCGGTTTACGCCCGACCGTGTCGGTGCTGCCGTTTCCATTACCTAGAAGAACGGGAGCTTCTGTGCTTCCTGCGGTGCTTGCGATGACCGGACCTCGAGTCCGAACCTCTCGACAGCTCGGACTCGCAGTCCGAGTGACGGCTGTGCCTCCGGTGACTATGACTATGACTTCTTCTACGATGACCACCGCGACTATGGCTGTCCCCTGAACTTTGGCTCTCCACCGAGCTGCTCCTCCGCTGGAGCCTGCTCAAGAGCTGAAAACGGCGACAATCGTCACACCTCGATCATCGTTCCCGACACTTTCGTAATCGTCGAATCGCGGTCATTTTGACCGCGGTAGGTTTAGCGTTAAACGAATCGATTAAAAGTTGCGAGAACGTACTGCCGGTGCCGTTCCCGCGGAGCGGACGGACCGAGGACTAGACGAAGTATAAAGGCCCCGAGGCTGGCTTTGAGTCCACGGCGCGCTCCTGGTGCTCCTTGGACTCGAATTGTTGACCCGTCTGGCGTTCTGCGCGTTGCACAACACGTTCCCGGCGGCCGGGTTGCTGGCCGAATTAGCATTGACCGCGGCAGGCGTTTCCACGAACGGGCCGACCATTTCCTGGCCCTCGACCACGCGTCGCTGGGCTCTGCGGCTCGGCGTCCTCTGGAAGATCGGCGGCGGATTCCGTCTGATCGTCGTGTGCTTCTCCGAGCCGGACGGAGGACTATACGAGCGGAAGCGGGAGTAAGGGCTCAACGGCGGGGGCCCCGTGGCCATTAAACGGAAGAACGCCTGGTGCTCCAGACAGCATTTCCACAGGTGTCTGCAGGCTGCCTTCGACGGTGTCTCGAACCCGTGGGTCCTCTCCTCCGAGTTTTTCTCGCTCACCCTCAGCATGAAGTATCTGCCCTGAAACGCGCGATGCTCGAGCTCACAATCAGAGTTTGAACGCCGCTCCGCTGTGCATTCACGTGTATGTTATCGCCATTGTTCAGTCATTTCCGGTGCTTCGACGCGAAAAACGTTTCGAACAAAAATTAACCCCTTTGCCGTACCATTTTTTTTTTCGTGGTTACGATGATTAGAAGCTTTTCGATTGCAACAATTTCTGAGAAGAAAAACGACAATTTATATTTATCACGTGTTTACGTTTACTTGAATGTTTAAACACCGATGACGAGAAATCGCAATTTTATTCAGGCTAAAATGAACGGAATACCGTTCATACTTAACAGGTTATTACTAGAAATCTCCGTCGCGTGTCAGACTCGTCAACGTATGGCGAGGGGTTAATTAGTAATATGTACTCGGTTTCCGATAAACTCCGATATAAAGGATGTAGAAAATGTCTTTTATCTAAATAATGAATTCAAATCATCTTGACTTTTGAATCGTCGTTATACACGTATTGTTTACTTAACAATGTCATAGCTGACGTCACAACCAATGTTTCTGTTTGCACCTTCAGAGATGAGTTCAGAAATGTATCATTAATTGATCAACTCTACGTACTAAGTTATACATGTAATGTATTATTTATATAGTATTGTATATATATAATATAATATTACACATATAACTTAGAACGTAGGGTTGATCAATTAATTAGCATTATACATAGCATTATAATACATTACATATATATATATATATATATATATATATATATATATATATTGAAATTATTA